GGCTATGGAGGAAAATAATATCGTTTTATTCTTAAAGTCCAGCTAAGAAGCAAAATAATTTATTTCCTATGTTGGTTTTTTGTTTCAATATTTTTCTAATCTTGTTCTCCTCCAGTCCCCAAAGTTGTTTTAATGCCTCTGAGACATGAAATAATCCAATTTTTGAAATGTAACTATGAAGAGAAATATTTTGTTTTTCAAACCAGCTAAGGAAATAATTTTTTTCCGTTTTTGTTCTTTTTTCTATTTTTGTGTTTTCTAATTTTTCTGTCTCCTCCAGCCCAAAATTTGTGTTTTTCCTTCTAAGAAGGGATATATCTTAATTATAATCCATCTATGAAGGGAAATAATCTATTTATAAATCCAGCTATGAAGGGAAATAACTTTTTTTCTATTTTTGTTTTTTGCAACTTTTTTCCCCTCCTTCCAGCCCCCAAATTTGTTTTTATCTTTCTAAGAAGGGAAATAATTAAAAATTGTTTCAAATACTGCTACGATGGTCACTTGAAAATAATCCAAAAATTAGGTCTTAGTCCTGGCCTAGGTGGAAGGGGTCTTATCTTGAATCTAAGGAGAAAAGGCTGACTGGGAGTGGCAGGGTGGGATGGGGGCAGCACCACTTCTCCAAGCCTTGCTGACACTGTAAGACTTTCAGGCCATCCAGACCTTGAATTGGTTCTTTGCCTTATTCCGGTAGAATAAGGGCAGGCAGGGGTTGACGCCCAAGGCCGTCTTGTCATGGGGGTACTGCATGTCATGAAGCAGCTCCATGATCTGCTGAACAGTGTGGTTCTCAGGACCAGACCCCCTCCTGGGCACTTTTTGTGCGGGCTCCTTGTCGGCGAGGCTCACTTCATAAAAATCTTTGGGGAGAGAGGGGCAGTGTGCTGAGCCACCTGCAGCCCTTCTCTCCTGCTCCTGTCCCACCCTGTCCACGGGCTCTACTTACCCCCCTGCTTGTGAGCTCCAAGCTCCTGGAGGGCTGAGGGCCCTGGAGTGGGCTCCTCCGCAGCGCTGTGGGTGTCTGGCAGGACTTGGCTGTGGTCCTTGTCGCGCTGGTTTAGCAGCTGCATCATCAGCCCCTGCAGCTCCAGCATCTTTGCCTGGAGGAAGAGGTGCTCAGCGCCCGCACCCCACCCCTGCCCATGCCCACAGCAACGTTCCGGGCCCTACCTTCATATCCTCCTTCTCCCTTGCCATCTGACGAACATACTCCTCGTTCTCATGCTGCTGCTTCTTCAGTGCGGCTTTCTGATATTGGTACAGTATGACATACTCCCCTGCAAAAGGACACAGTTCAGACTCCGGGGCTCCCCCGACCCTATGGAGAGCTCGCCCGGCCATGCCCTGGTGTCCTGGCTCACCAATGGTTTCTGTCTCTCCAGCCAGCTGGACACAGCGATGTTCCAGCTCGTCCACTTGCTCTTTCAGATCCACCTTCTCCTGCATGAGTGCTACAAACCGGTTCTGGTGCCAAAATAATGGGGTCAGGTCTGGGCAGCAGGCTGCCTGCCCCCACATCCCTTCTTGGCTCATGTCAGGAGAGACTCCCTCACCTGAAGCTTCTCCATGTCCACCTGTAGGGCCCGGTAGGTTTCCCCAGACACAATGTCGCCCCCAATTCCAGGGCCAGGGCCTGCCTGGAGAGCCGAGCAGCGCACCTTCTGTTCCCTCATCTGCCCATGCAGCTGGGCCTGCTCCTCCTCAGCACTGGCCAGAGCTGAGCTGAAAAATGTCACCTGCAGGCAAAAGTGAGTGTGCTCGTGGGGGGACACAAAGGACTGACAGATGAAAGAGAGCAGAGAGGAAGCCTCCCAACTCGGAGCCTCAGGGGATACACCTGTTGTTCACAGGTGGCTGGTGTCCGATCACTGGCTTCCAAGGAAAGGGGGTGTCAAGAGAAATCAGAGGGCAGGAAAGGTGGGACAGAGAAGGGGTGAGAAGAGTTATGTTCACCATGGCTTCTCGGCTCTCTAGGTCCTCCGGGATGCCCGGCTTGGGCCTAGCAGCCTCCTCATCCGCTCCCGCCTCCTTGCCAGGTGTGTCCTCCTTGCCAAGAGTGTCCTTGTCAGGTATCTGCTCCTTGCCAGGAGCGTCCTTGTCAGGTATCTGCTCCTTGCCAGGAGCGTCCTTGTCAGGTATCTGCTCCTTGCCAGGAGCGTCCTTGTCAGGTATCTGCTCCTTGCCAGGAGCGTCCTTGTCAGGTATCTGCTCCTTGCCAGGAGCGTCCTTGTCAGGTATCTGCTCCTTGCCAGGAGCGTCCTTGTCAGGTATCTGCTCCTTGTCAGGAGTGTCCTTGTCAGGCATCTGCTCGTTGCCAGGAGTGTCCTTGTCAGGTATCTGCTCCTGGCCAGGAGTGTCCTCTTTGTCAGGTATCTGCTCCTTGCCAGGAGTGTCCTTGTCAGGTATGTCCTTGTCAGGTATCTGCTCCTTGCCAGGAGTGTCCTCTTTGTCAGGTATCTGCTCCTTGCCAGGAGTGTCCTTGTCAGGTATGTCCTTGTCAGGTATCTGCTCCTTGCCAGGAATGTCCTCTTTGTCAGGTATCTCCTCCTTGCCAGGAGTGTCCTCCACTCTCTCCTCCTTGTCAGGTCCCTCCTCCTCCTCTGCTCCCTCCTTGTCCAATCCATCTAGGGGCAGCCAGAGGAGTCCTCAGAAACCCAACAAGGGAGGCAGAATGGACCACCTCCCTCACAGTGTGATCTGGGCCAGCCACTCCCCCCAGAATCACCAGCTGTTCTAAAGGTCCCTCTCCCCCTCACTTACCCTTCCCAGGGTCAGCCATTAGGCTCAGCTGGGCCTGGAGCTGCTGGTTCTGTTGGCTGGCAGCTTCTAGGAGCTCCTAAAGGGCCAGGAAAGAGGGTGAGAAGGCATGGAGGCTGCCAGGCCCTCCCCCTCAGGGGCCCAGCCCTCAGCAACTCCCTCACCTGGGTCTCCTGCAACTCCTGGTGGGCCCTCTCGGCCACCATTGCGCCCTGAGCTTTCTCTTGCTGCAGCTGATCCATGGCCTGGGTCTGCTGCAGGAGCTCCCTGTGTAGAGTCTCCCTCTCCGAAATCAGCTGCTGGACATAGAGCAGGTACTGATCGCGCTCCTGCTGCAGACTCTTCGCCTCGTCATTCTTCAGTTCCACCTGGGGGAAGACCCTGGATGTGAGGGCAGGTTTCCAGACTCTGAGCCCGTCAGCAGGGCAGTGGGGGCAGGGTGGGGACTCAGGCGCAGGCCCCTGGCCCCTCGCTCCAGGCCTGTCTCCCTTGCACAGAGCCCCACGACTCCTCACCCAGCCTCACATCCCATTATCTTCTTCCCACCATTTAAACTTTAGGCCACAGATGGGAGGAAAAGCAAAGGGAGCCAACCAGCAAGCATCTGTTAAGTGCACACTAAATGCCTGATACTTTACACACATTATCTCATTTAATCCTCAACACCTCTTCGAGAAAAGTGCTAACTTCTTTTTCTTTTGTTTTGTTTTATTTTTTTATTTCTGTTTTTGAGACAGAGCCTCACTCTATCACCCTGGGTAGAGTGGAGTGGTATCATCATAGCTCACTGCAACCTCAAACTCCTGGGCTCAAGCGATCCTCCAGCCTTGGCCTCCCAAAATGCTGGGATTACAGGGGTGAGCCACTGTGCCCAGCTAGATGCAAAGTACTTGACTATCTGCCAGCGGAGCCGTGACTGGAATCCAGTCTGAATCCAAAGAGCCGCCCGTCAGACTACCTTCCCCTAGGGTTAGGGGCGCTCAGTGCCTCTAGCTGGGATGATTATGTCCAGACCTGGGAGAAGCCCAGGGCTACCCACCTCTCAAAGTCAGAGGGCAGGAAGCAATAGTCACAGGACTGCTCTGTAGGCTTCTGGGGTCCCCTGTCCCTCAGGCTGGCACTGCCTTTGTCCTGGCCCAGCACCTCCCCCCGTTCTCAGATCGAGCAGTGGTTACCGTTTCCTTCAGCTCTCCCAGCTTCTCCTGTAGCTGGCCCAGCTTCTTAGCCAGCTCCATCTTCACATGCTGCTCTGAGTGCAGTGCACTAGCAATCTCCATTTTGTCATTGCTCTGGACAGAGAGAAGTAAGCTGCAGCTGGAGACCCCAGGACTCGAGGTCCACCTCCCACAGCGCAGGGATGGGTGGTGACAGGTTGGAAACCCATCCCCCCGCCACCATATAGTGGAGTGGGGCTCTGGTACCATTTCACATAAGGTCTACCCTGCCCAATTTTACAGGTGGGGAAACAAAGTCCCAGAGGGCAAATGAGGAGGGCTGGCTAGCCAAGTGGGGGCCACGTACCATTTTGATAAAGCCGTCCTGCAGCTCGGCCAGCTGCTTCTTGAGCTCAAGGTTCTGGGAGACCGCACGACTGATGGTGGCACGGTCGTTCTCTATGGTCTCCAGGATCTTCTTGCGCTCTTCTGTCTGGTTCCCCCAGAGTTCGGCCTGCTGCTCCAGCACCCGCAGCCGCTGCCACTGCTCCAGGTTCTGTTGACTCAAACTCTCATTTTCTTGTAACTGGGCATGCAGCTGTCCTTCCAGGCTTTCCAGCTGCTTTTGCAGCTGCTCAGCTTCTGCCTGTAGCTGCTGCTCGGTCTCGGAGGGCCCTGCTGGGGGCTCCGGGGGTCGGGGTTCAGCTGAAAAAGGAAGCGTATGATAAAGGCCTCTGGATTTTCAAAAAACCCTCTTTTTGGTCCACAGCTCCTCTCCCCAAACCTTGGCTTCCTGGCTAATAATTCCTCACACTCATATCATGGTCAATCTTTCAAGCCATTATTGTGCTCAAGACAACTGTGGATGGGTGACAATGGGCATTCCTTCCTCTGCAAATGTGGCCACTGAGGCTCAGAGAGATTACAACACTTGCTACCTCCTGGCACAGACCTCTTTCCCATTGTCACAAAACTCTGGCATCTTCCCACCTCCTGGGGGCATTCTAAGCTACCCCCATATAGCCATCCGACACAATCCTCCTCCCAGGTGCCCCCGGTCCCAGCGTACCTATCTGGCTCTTCAGTTCAGCCAAACTGGCCTCTAGCTCCCGCACCTGAGTCACACTGTGCTCCTTTTCCTCCTTCAGTATGCGCATCTGCCCAGAGACGGGGAAAGAAGCACAGGGAGAGACGCTGGTAGATGGACAGACCATCACCTCCCTCTGTGTCCCCACCTCCACAGACCCGAAACACATGCCCACCTCTGCCTGCATGCCCCAGCAAGCCGTAGGATTCCCATTTTACCCAGAAAGATCAAGTGACTGATCTCTGGAGGGGGTTGCAGGGTCAGACCTCACCTTTTCTGACATTTCGTGCATTTTCTCCTGCCACATGGCAGTATCTCCTTTCAGAATCTCTAAATAATGGTCTCTGTCCATCTGTAATCGTTTCATCTTCTCCGTAAGCTGCAAGAATGAGCTCAGAAGTTAGGAGGGGCTGTCCCTTGTTGCTACCTGCTCCTGGCCACCTGTGGTCATTCTCTTTCCACATCCCCCCTCCCCAAAGCCTCACCTCGGCCACACGTTTCTCCAGCTTCTCCCGATCCTCCAAGATCTGCTGTAACTGCAGGCTGCTATTATGGGCTTCGGTCGGGGTAGTGAACTGGATGGTGAAAAATGAGGAGGTTAGATCTGGGGGGCCCAGGCTGCTCCACAGAATGCTCCCCAGAGGGCTGGAGCTGGGCTCGACGTACAGCTCAGGGTCAGTAAAGGTTTCTGCCCTCTATTATTATGACCATGTAATAACAAAGGTGTTGGCTTAGCTCCCTGAAGGAAGTGAACAGACTCCCAGACTAGCCATATAGATGTAATCTATAGAATGATGGTTTTCAACCAGGACACTTTAAAAAAAAGTTTAAAAAGCCCCTGAGATTCTGATTCCAGAGGTCTAGAGCAGGCCCCAGTTTGTGGATTTTTAGCAATCTCTGGAGGATTCTATGGTAGGACCAGAACAAGGATCCAAATTCTCCAGCTCTTGACTAGAAGCCACCCCCCACTCCTGCAATGGTCCCTAGAGACTATGGTCCCGGCTGGATGGGGCTCGGACCACTCCCCAGGGCTGCAGCCTCACCTGCAGCAGCAGGAGCTCGGAAAAGTCCAGCTTCTTCTGCATTTCGTCAAACTGATGTTTCAGGGCCGCCTTCTCAGACACTAGCAAGCGAAGCCTCTCTTCCAGTTCTGAGTTCGTCTGCTTTAGGTCCTCATTATTTTTGCTGTGGCCAGAGGCAGTGGAGAGAGGAATGAACAAAGAACAGAAAGGACCGTTTTGGTGATCAACCCACCACCCTCGCCACACAACCACGGAACTGCGGCACTGGAAGGGACCCCAGGAATCAAGAGTCCCAAGTGGCAGGCTACAGAGAGGACCTGAGGCTACATCATGAGCCCCGTGGCCCTGCCCACATCCAAACCTGTAGAACCACCTACCATGCTCACCTGTATCCCTCCCACCTCCCACCACATCACCCACACTACGGGCCCCCGCACCACCCACCCCACCTTCCCCCATCCTACTTGTTCTTGTATAATTCCATCTTGAGAGCATCTCGCTCTTTGGTTAACTCCTTGTTATCCTGCGAATACAGAAAGGTTACATCAGGATTTTTCAGGCGGAAGATACAGCTGGCACACTAGTAACAGCAGCTACAGTAGCTATTTCACAGTAACACTTCCTCACCCCGAATCACACCACGTATTTTCAAGGCATTCCCAAGCCCGTGGTATCATTTCTTTTCAACAGTCTGAATTAAGGGTGGAAGAGCAGGGAAAGAGATCGAGTTTACAGCCGGCTAACAGAGGCCCAGATGATACTGCTGCTGCTACTAGCACTATTGTCACCAATGTTCAAGCCTTTATCAAGTGCTTCTCCAGGCACCGTGCTAACAACCTCAATTCAATCCTCACAACCACCATATGCGATGGTCACCATCATTATCTCCGTTTTGTAAAGGAAAAGCAGAGTAATAGAAGTTAAGTGCTCACCTAAGGTCATGTAGAGCTGGGATTTGAACACCCAGGTCTATCTAATTCTCTAAGCCCATTTTTTTCTCCTGGGGTGGGGGTGCAGATATGAAGGGTGACATTAATCTTTTTGTTCACTTTCTGAATGGATGATACATTCACATAGTCCAAAACTTAGAAGGTACAGAAATGAAACATCTCCCAGCCACCCTGTTCCTCTCCCAGTGTTTTATGAATCCTTTCAGATACATTTTCTGTGTATTACACCTAGTAAACACACACACACACACACGCGCGCGCGCGCGTGCACGCATCCCCTCTCTCTATACAAATAGTAACATACCAAAGATATTCTTCTGTGTCTGCCCAGCCCACAGACCATATACCCTCTCCCTAGCACGTGGCCAAGGCCACTGCTCAGCCAAAGGCAGGGTGGGCACTCGGCCTCTGGGCTCTGCATTCAGTGCTCACTCCCACAGCACTCCTCCAACTCATGCACGGCAGCCAACTCATCCCTAAGCAACTGCTTTTTTTTTTTTTTTTTTAATTTTTCCCCTTTATTTTTTGTTTTAGAGACGAGGTCTTGCTATGTTGCCCAGGCTGGCCTCAAACTCCAGGCCTCAAGTGATGCTCCCACCTTGGCCTTCCAGTAGCTGGGACTATAGGTGCGCACTGCTGCACACCCCAGGCTGCTCTGACAACCATACAACAAAAGCAGCAAGAAATGGCCCGTGCTGCATCCCGGGCAGCAGGACACTCCACTCTGCAGAAGGGTGTTCAGGCTTACTCCCCCATCTGGGAAGCTGGCCTGCCAGCCAGCGGCCAAGCAGGTGGCTGGGCTCACCTTGTCCACCTGCTTCTGTTTCGTGGAGACAGCAGACAGAGTCCGCTCCAAATCTCCTATGCGCTGCCAGGAAGAGCGCAGGCGGCTGGCAAGGTCCTCGGACTCGCCTGGAATGAGAGAGAGAGTTGAGATGGAGCCCAAAGGCCTCCCCTGAAGGCTTGCCAAGGCGCCAGGCCAAAGGCTGAAGGGGGCCCAGATTCCCACCTTCTTTCTGCCTGATTGCCCGTTGAGTGTGGAAGAGGGCCGAATGAAGATCCGACTTCTCAGATACTAGGATCCCTATGGTCTGAATGTGAACCTTTGGGAGAAAAGCCAAACAAGTGCTGAAAGAGAGGGAAAGAAATGTTCTCTAGAGGACATGAGGGGACACCATCCAGGCCACTCACCTGTAGTTGTTCCCGTAAGGCTCCCTGTTCCTTCATCGACTTTTGCTGATATTCTTTTTTCTCCTATAGAAAGAAGGAAGAAAGATCTCTTACTTGGAGGAGGCAGAGATGGAATAGCAAAGGATGTGCCCCCAGAATGCCACCAATGCCCCAGGGCAGACCCACCCATGAGACCAGATTATCAGGAACCCCGTGGGGAATGGGGGTGGGACCCCAGGGGCAAGCCTTCTCTAGGCCGGGAGTGGGCAAGGTAAGCCTGGGGCTCTACATCTGGGTCCTTCCCTAAACCCATCAGCCATGTCATAAGCAAAGAAATCACATTACTTTTTCCAGCTGATCCATAAGTTCTTGATTCTGCTGTTGCTGTAGAGAGAGTCAAAGGAAGGTGACTGAGGTGGTCCCCCCGACTCTATTCCCCAGACCAAGAAGGGGTGGGCGGGGGCCAGGAATGGATTTTAAAGGCAAAGTTCTCGACCGTATGGGGACACGAACTGACAAAACTCCCCTCAAGCTCCCAAGGTCAGAGAATTTGTGTCTTTGCTGGTTTTTGCTCACAGCTATAAAACTGAAAGCCTGAATTTGGATTCTCTTTAAAGGACAATTAACATAAAACTCAGAAATGGACTTAGAGAAAAGAAAGACTTCCCTTCCGCCAGCTTGTGATTTAGAAGGGTACATTCACTCAACAAATATTTACTGAGCACACACTACAGGCCAGGTCCTGCTCTTAATAACAGGGATATAGGAATGCAAACGACAGAGGAGATCCTTCCACACTGTGAGATCCTTTCACCCTGTCGTCTACATTCTAGTGGGCCTTGAAATCTGATACTCAGAGCTACAAGAGACCTTCCATACCCTCTAACTCTACCTCCTCAGGAAACTCAAGCACAGGGAGGAGAGGTCGTTTGTCCAAAATCAAAGACAGAGCAAATCAGGGACTGAGCCGGGGAGGGAACACAGGGCTTCTGACAACACGCCAAGCTCGCCCTTCCACAAGAGCCAACCACCCCAGGGCAAGTGTGGCGAGGACGAGCAGGGCTGTCTGGAGAAGAGAGAAGAGGCAAAGAGGGCAGCGACAGAAAGCCATGCGGCATGCTCCGTGCTTGGGGTCCCTCCAGCTGAAGCCTAGGCCCCCAGCACCCACTCTCCCTTGGCAACAGGGGCCCCCGGCCTCTTTCTTCAGAGCCCCAAGGGGAAACTGGAGCCCAGGATGGGCAGCGTGGCATCAGGGAACCCCACTGGACTCTTACCAATTCCTCTACTTTGCTACTGAGTTGTTTGTTTGTTAGATAGCTGGAGTCCAGGGCTACCGCTAGCTCGTGGTACCGGTTCTGAGGCGCATGCAGAGAGGAGGAGTGGAGGAGGGTTGGGGGGAGAAGTAGAGAGAGCAATCATTAGGGTTGGGGGTCTGTGGGCTGTCTCAGCTGGCAGAGGGGCACCCAGCCCCCACTGTGGGAGAAGGTCAGGGCTGGCCTGCAGGGTCACTGGGCCACAGTTCAGGGCCACTTACCTCCATTTCCTTCAGGTTAATGGACGATGAAAGGCCCGTTCCATTGACGTAGGATGTAGACTAAAAGAGATGAGGGTTCACTCAGACGCTCCATCCCCTCATGGCTAAGCCCTCTGACTTCCCTTCTTCCCCACCAACTGGCAAAATTTTCTTTTCTGCCTAACTCAGACCCCTCTTTCCATCATCCCTCTGTGCCAACTTCTCAGCATTCTTATCTCCCCGCCGTCCCTCCCTCCTGAGCAGCTCTCAGCCTGTGCTCCCATAGCAGGATAGACACGTAACCGGCCCTGTGGTCCGACTCCTTCCCCTGCACAGCTCCAAGGGGGAAGGCCCAGAGAAGAGGTGACCTGCTCAGCGTTCCCCAGCAAGTTGGCTGGTCCCACGAGCATCTCTCTCTCACGAACGCCTGCCTCCGTTGCCTCCTATCATATTTCCTTCCCCTTCGCCCCCCTTCTGGGCCCTAATTTCTGGGGTACCTCAGACACAAGATTATTGATATGCTGAGAAAGTTGTCGCAGGCTCTCAGTCGATGAGAAAGTCCTAGGGATAGAGATAGGGGTCAGGGGTGCAGGTGGCTCAATGGGAAAGAGGGTCATGGGCAGTGGCCTGCCCTGACTACCTCCCTTGGAGGAGAGGACAGGAGGACAGAGGCCCCGACAGGAGACACTCACTCGATTTTGTCCACAAGATCAGAGACATCATCAGCATCATGGTCCTGTTTGGGAAGAAACATT